TCCAAGGACTTCAACACTGCATTCCCGTGATTTGCATCAAGTTTACGGACGCTGGAGCGTCAAAACGTACACCTCGATCAGGTGACGACAAAGCTGGTTCCACAGAGGGCGGGGCGGGGACGCAGGATACGTCGAGCAAACCACAGCTGGGGTGACACCAGGTCAGGGGCCGTGACCAGCGGATACCGAAGTCGCACGCCAGCCTGTCGCGCTGGCGGCCGGCCGTCTCACTCGGCGCTTTCACCGTGGCGCGGCTGGAGGAAAGCTGGCCGCTCCTGGACTGGACAAAGTGCGGACCCTGCAGCGGCCGGCGAACGCCGCCAGCCAGTGTTGGCGGCAGCCTAATCGGCCCACCGGCACACGAGCAGCGCCACTTTCCGGGAGTCGGTCTGGCCTTAGCCTAAGTGCTGAGTACCATGAGTAAGCCGAGCTGCAGAACTGAGCTGCAGTGGTCCCGTGACATCGGCACAAGACGAGCCGCTGACCCCGATCAGCTTGTCTGAAGCTGAGACGCGACCGTGCGCCTGCAGTCACCCCGGCGTTTGTTGCAGATACCGTAACACGCAGCGCCGAGGTGAATGCGATCCCCGCACGGTCAGAACGGCAGCCGAGTGATCTTTGCCACAGACAGTACAATGCGTTTCCCCTGGCACCCTAGGGGCAGGGGGGCCGACCATGGAACGTGTCGCGCCCCGTCCGTGTATCTGGCCAGATGAGATCTGCGCTGCTAGAGGAGGCCCGGCCGGCGCCCCCGTGGCCGCCTCACTCAATCGCCGCAGTCCATGTCACAGTTAGCGAGCCGGTCGCTGAGCGAGCCGCCGGCGGCTCGGCCGACGCGGGGGCAAAACTCGGGGAGCCGTCGCCGCGCGGGATCTAGTCGGCCACGGCCGACCGGTTCGGGTCATCCTAGGTCACAGGACCGTGTGTGGGCGCGGTCAGGGACTCCCACTCGGAAAGTTGCAATACGCATGTCATAGCGGGCCGTAAATGACCTTAGAATCACGCACTACAGACGTTGAGCGCAATTTAATTCGTTGCTTTTTAACCCGTTTGGATGACTGGCAGCTAACGCCAGCTGGTAACGCTCAGCTGTCCAGTCCGAACATAATGTCATCTTTCTGCGAGAAGCCGCTGGCTGGAGGATCTGGGGTCCGGAGGCGCGTGCGACCAAGCTCGGCGCTGGCTCAGCAGTGACACACGATGACTGCGGCCCAGCCAGCG